GAAGATCAGTGTGCGTCTATACTTGTACCTGCACTTGATCCGATTAGCTCCTGTTGTTTTTGGGTGAATCGGCTTTACGGTTATCACGGATAGCGCCGGCCCATTGGCGGCGATCGAGAGCGAGCTCCTCGCAGATGCCAACCCAGTGCCTGCTCCAGTGTCGCAAGCCGTAAACGGTTACCTGGCCCATGTGTTGAACTTCCGACTTGACAGTGTTGAACCTTGTTTTTAGCTGACCGCCATGTCGGTATCTCCAGTTTGCACTACGAGAAGGGTTCACGACCAATCTGCAATGCTGGATGTATGATGCTAGACTTAGAAGTTTGAAACACCTGCAATATAGCTCAAAATTGGAAATTCGATCCTGCCAGGAAACTCTTAGAAGGCGTCGAAGACACCAACGGTCAAACACTTCGAGTGATAGGATGTCTGCTTTTCTGACTGGCCATTTTTCGCAGACATATACTAATACCGGTCGGATGGATGCTCTGTATATTAACAGCGTAGTACGTAAGCTAATGTCTGAGCGGTTTGCGCCTAAAGCCTGCACTGCTCGAAAACCGATATTGGTACTTATAAGGGGAAGACAGAAAGCTTAATATAGCGATCACGCAGACATTCTTAAGTCGGTGACTGGTTTCTACACAAACAATGCACTATTCGCCTATCGTTAGAAGACAGTCACCACTGTGTCTGCTGGAAGAGTAGTGTGGGTCGCTGTGCAAGCCGAAGGAGGCATTCTAGAATATTAGTTTATCGTGAGTCTGGAAAGGTGCGCAGTGTCAGACCTGGGGTACCAAAGTCCAAGAGAGTTCATACCTTCCAGCATCCAATACCGGAGTTCCGTTCTTATTTGCTTAGCGCAGCTCGAGTACCATCTACCCTCCCCCCCCCCGAATTAAGACTACCGAGCGAGATGGTTCCCGTGGACGTTGTAGCACTAATAATATTACCGTGCTGTAGCATATTTTTGTGATTTTCAGTACCAGTGGGTTCTAAATGGCCGCTCGAATTGTTTGCTTGAGGCTGTCGCTGGTTGGTTAAAAAATCTAGCCACAAGACAGCGATTGTAAACAAAGTTATTTGTTGATAGTTCTCGTTTGCCATGCCGTTGTGGCGTCGCCGGGCTTACGAAGTCGATGGCAGTGTGGACTTCTATTGGTGTAATATCTCTAAGCTACTGTGTGTGTGTGTGTGTGCTAGAATTTCTATTTATTCCGCCCAAATAAGGGTCCGCTTTGCCAGAACCACTTGTCTCCTTCTGCACCTTTCCACGACCAAGCTATATACTTACTTGGAGGATTTCGGCCTATCTGCTGGGTTGAATAGCATCTTTTCCCTGCCCTGATTCGTGCCACGGCTGTTTACTACAAACCCTTCTCTCAAAGTGTTTTGCACACTGGGCTATGTGAAAGTGAAAGCGTAAAAGTGTTCCTTTGAAGTCACTGTCAATTAAGGCCTTTCTCCTGTTCTTAATCATTCAGCGCCTAAGCCAAGACTAGCCTAAGTAACTCCCCTCTATCGATACGGTATCTGAGACCCTGCTGTCTGTCTTCTGTCTTTATCGCGCCTCACCATCCATCGGCGTCGTCACGTGATACCGCAATTTTCGCTGTCTTGCAGACTGTGGTCTCACTTTCTGCCATACCTGCTTTTTCACTGTGGTTTCGTTAGGCAGAGGTAAACATTTGGACCCCCC